GCGTATACCGACGGAACAATAGGGTCAAGTGAGCGGGTATACTGTGCAGTGGGAATCAAGACAGTGCAAATCAAACAGTGGCATTGTAATGCAACACATCGATCACAGCTCGTGGTGAATTATCTTAGTGAATGTAGAGAAGATTGCTAATGAAGATCGATTCCTTGAGGCAGCATCAGTCGCACCAGCTACGACCAACGTGGAGACCTGAAGACCACAGGATTACCGACGACCCGCCGTGTATTCACCTAGAGTGCTTGTGGGGGGGGGGGGGGATTTCTAAGTGTCTCTCTGTAAGTCTTCAACAGTGTGCAAAGTTTATATAATATCATATCATAAACATTAAAGCATTCCATTCAGTAATACAATCGTAAGTGGTAGTCAGATAACAAGGACATCAACTGTGGGCTCACTGAGAACCCAGATAAGCTGCTAATCCCCCCCTGCTGTAATCTGTAGACAACACCTCACCCTCCCACCCACCAGTGGGTGGGTGAGGTGAGGTGGATGCTCACTGGGTTGCTGGTGAATGCTCACTGGGCTTCCAGTGAGCATCCACGGGTGTTGATGCTGAGACTCAGATAATCATCCAGGGAGAAGGTGGAAATAGTAAACCGGAAGAGAATGCCACTATAAAAGCAACATTTGCAGAAATGCTAAAAAAAAATAACTCTGAAGTAATGTCCACAATGATGGAGGTGGCCATGAAAGCAGCACCCTCACAGGAAGTGGCACGCTCCACTAGCCAGCTGCTGGAAAGAAAAAGATTAGTGGTAGCTGTGGGTATTAAAGAGCAGGAAGGCTCCAACAGGACAGAATGGAATGATAAGGACATTGCAGCAGTGAATGAAATACTGAAGGCACTAGAGATGGAAGGGGCTGAGCTTAGAATTGAGAAGGTTTTCAGGCTAGGCTGGTACAACAAAGACCGAGACCGTGTGTTAAAGATAGTGTTTGCAAACGAGAACACAAAGGAGATGATTCTAACAAGAAAAAGTCACCTGCACCATGTGGGAGAATTAAAAAAGTATTCCTCCAAAGGGACATGTCGAGGGAGGAGAGAACCATGGAGGCAGAGGCAAGGAAGAAACGTAGGGCGAGAGGGGAAAACCAGGAACTCACAGCTCCCAACACATCATCCTCAGAGGTGAGGGAGGAACCCACAACCCATTAACACCAGAGGGGAGGGCAACCACACCACCCTCCTGTGTATAGAAACCCCCCTACCCAAAACCCTCCCTGCCCCCACTCAAATGCTCAGGCAAATCTCCCTCCCCACACACCCCATTCCCACCCTTCTACCCCTCCCCTCCTCCTGCCATGTCTCCCCTCCCCCCTTTTCCTTCCGGTCCTCCTTCCCCCTTCATCCCAAACCCTCTCTGTTCCCCCCCCCCCCCTTCATCCCATACCCTCTCTGTCCCCCCCCCTTCACTTGATCCCCCGCCCCTCACCCCAGTATCCTCTGAGACCGTGTTATCCACCTCGCAAATCCTCACACCCATGGAACAGCTTCCCCCACCAGCAGAACATTCACCAAGGAGGCGAGTTAAGAAAGGACAGAAGAAAGTGAGCCTCAGGGCAATGTACACTAACATAGATGGAATTGCAAATAAAGCAAATGAACTTGGAGAATGGGTACTAGAGAAAAACCCAGACATAATAGCACTCCCAGAACAAAGCTAACGAAAACCATAACAAATGCAGTGTTCCCACAGGAATACTATGTTATGAGGAAAGAGAGAGAGAAGGAAGAGGTGGTGGTGGTGTAGCTCTGCTGGTAAGAAAGAGCTGGGACTTTAAGTAGATGGTTATTCAGGGCTGTGAGGGGTTCAGTGACTACACAGCAGATACCATAACAACTGGAGGACAAAAAAATTATAGTCATAGTCATATATAATCCACCACCAAATGACAGAAGATCCAGACAGGAATATGATAGAAACAACATGGCCACCATTAACATAATAGAGAGAGCAGCTTCTGTTGCCAGCAGGAATGGATCTGGACTACTAATTATGGAAGACTTCTATCACGGGAAAAAAGACTGGGAGAACAGAGATCCGCATGGAGGCCCAGAAACATGGAGAGCTAAGCTGCTGGACGTGGCAACAAGACACTTTCAAAGTCAGCACATCAAGGAACCAAGAAGAATGAGAGGAGAAGATAAACCAGCCATGCTCGATCTGATATTTACCCTAAATGAGTGGGACATAAGGGAAGTTAAGATGGAAACACCCTTGGGAATGTGTGACCACAGTGTATTAAACTTTGAGTACCTGGTAGAGCTAGGAATTATCTCCCCCCAAAAAGAACTAGGAAACAAAAGGCTGGCATACCGAAAGGAGAACTATGAGGAGATGAAAAGTTTCCTATGGGAAATACCTTGGAACACAGACCTCAGAGTCTGTTCGTCTGTACAAGATATGATGGACTATGTTACCCAAAAGTGTCAGGAGGCAGTAAACAGGTTCATCCTGTCCCAAAGGGAAAAATCCGTGAAGCAAAAGAAGAATCCATGGTATAATAGGGCATGTATGAAAGCAAAGAAACTGAACAAAAGGGCGTGGAGGAACTTCCGGAATAACAGAACACCAGAAAGCTGAGAGAGATACCAGAGAACCAAGAATGAGTATGTTAGGGTGAGAATGATACAGCAAACAAAGCCAAGACCGAACCAGAGCTACTCCATAGTCACATCAGGAGGAAAACAACAGTGAAAGAACAAGTAATGAAACTTAGAACAGGCGAGGACGGGTATACAGAGAATGACAAGGAGGTGTGTGAAGAGCTCAAGAAGAGGTTCCAGGAGGTCTTCACAATAGAACAAGGTGAGGTCACTGTACTAGGAGAAAGGGAAGTAAACCAGGCGGCCTTGGAAGGGTTCGAAATTACGAGTGAGGAGGTCAAGAGACACCTGCTGGATCTGGATGTTAGAAAGGCTGTTGGTCCAGACTGGGTCTCACCATGGGTACTGAAAGAGTGTGCAGAGGCACTTTGCTTGCCACTCTCCATAGTGCATAGTAGGTCACTGGAGATGGGAGACCTACCAGAAATATGGAAGACGGCGAATGTGGTCCCAATATACAAAAAGGGCGACAGGCAAGAGGCACTGAACTACAGGTCAGTGTCCTTGACTTGTATACCATGCAAGGTGATGGAGAAGATCGTGAGAAAAAACCTAGTAACACAACTGGAGAGAAAGGACTTCGTGACAAATCGCCAACATGGATTCAGGGAGGGTAAATCTTGCATGACTGGCTGAATAGAATTCTACAACCAGGTGACAAAGATTAAGCAAGAAAGAGAGGGCTGGGAGGACTGCATTTTCTTGGATTTTCGGAATGCTTTTGACACAGTACCGCATAAGAGGCTGGTACATAAGCTGGAGAGACAGGCAGGTGTAGCTGGTAAGGTGCTCCAGTGGATAAGGGAATACCTAAGCAATAGGAAGCAGAGAGTTACGGTGAGGGGTGAGGCCTCAGATTGGCGTGAACTCCCCAGTGGAGTCCCACAGGGCTCTGTACTCGGTCCTATCTTGTTTCTGATATATGTAAATGATCTCCCGGAGGGTATAGATTCATTTCTCTCAATGTTTGCTGACGATGCCAAAATTATGAGAAGGATTAAGACAGAGGACTGCTTGAGGCTTCAAGAAGACCTAGACAAGCTGAAGGAATGGTCGAACAAATGGTTGTTAGAGTTTAACGCAAGCAAATATAATGTAATGAAGATAGGCGTAGGGAGCAGGAGGCCAGATACTAGGTATCCAACCCGTCCTCTTAAAAATAACGTCACTTTTGGCTCGTATGCGCACTATGGCCAAATTTGGACGTAATTTAAAATGAAATCGACTCACAAAAGTGACGTACTGTTCCGTTTTCTGTTTGAGTCGTCCGGCGCTCCGCGGACAGTTTAGAAGAGGAACTTTCAATTAACGTTTTTCATAACGTTTTGAAACTTTATGAGAATTTCCTGCCCACCTAACCTATCAGAGGATCCTTAACTTACTGTTGTTGAAAAAAAAAATCCAAAATATATTTTCATTTTTTTTTTCATTTTCAAATTACGTCCATATTCGGCCATACGGGCAAACGGCCAAAAGCGACGTTCTTTTTAAGAGGACAGGTTGCAGGTATCATCTAGGAGATGAAATTCTTCATGAGTCAGAGAGAGAAAAAGACCTGGGGGTTGACATCACGCCAGACCTGTCCCCTGCAGCCCATATCAAGAGGATAACATCAGCGACATATGCCAGGCTGGCCAACATAAGAACGGCATTCAGAAACTTGTGTAATGAATCATTCAGAACTTTGTATACCACATATGTCAGGCCAATCCTGGAGTATGCAGCCCCAGCAAGGCGTCCATATCTAGTAAAGGATAAGACCAAACTGGAAAAGGTTCAAAGGTTTGCCACCAGACTAGTACCCATGCTGAGAGGTATGAGCTATTAGGGGAGGCTATGGAAATTAAACCTCACTTCGCTGGAAGACAGAAGAGTTAGGGGGACATGATCACCACATTCAAGATTCTCAAGGGATAGATAAAGACAGGCTATTTAACACAAGGGGCACACACACAAGGGGACAAAGGTGGGAACTGAGCGCCCAAATGAGCCACAGAGATATTAGAAAGAATATTTTTAGTGTCAGAGTGGTTGACAAATGAAATGCATTAGGAAGTGATGTGGTGGAGGCTGACTCCATATACAGTTTCAAGTGTAGATATGATAGAGCCCAATAGGCTCAGGAACCTGTACACCTGGTGATTGACGGTTGAGAGGCCGGACCAAAGAGCCAGAGCTCAACCCCTGCAAGTACAATTAAGTGAGTACACAAACACACACACACACACACACACACACACACACACACACACACACACACACACACACACACACACACACACACACACACACACACACACACACACACACACACACACAAACACACACAGAGTGCCCGAAGCCTAATTTAACAAGGGAGAAATAGGCTGGTGTATCAGAGACTGGTCTTCAGTGATAAAGGGAACACTGAGGGATGAGAGAGAACCACAGTACAATATATGCTGAGCCAGAGAGAAGCATATGGGCGGAGGACATACATATGTAGTATGTCCAGCATACTGGACATGCACACTCTGCTCCAGTATGTTGGAGCTGTGTGTATGTGGAGCGAGTGGTCGTCCACACCACAGGAGTGGTCGTCCACACCACAGGAGTGGTCGTCCACACCACAGGAGTGGTCGTCCACACCACAGGTGTGGTCGTCCACACCACAGGAGTGGTCGTCCACACCACAGGAGTGGTCGTCCACACCACAGGAGTGGTCGTCCACACCACAGGAGTGGTCGTCCACACCACAGGAGTGGTCGTCCACACCACAGGAGTGGTCGTCCACACCACAGGAGTGGTCGTCCACACCACAGGAGTAGTCGTCCACAGCACAGGAGTGGTCGTCCACACCACAGGAGTAGTCGTCCACACCACAGGAGTGGTCGTTCACACCACAGGAGTGGTCGTCCACACCACAGGAGTGGTCGTTCACACCACAGGAGTGGTCGTCCACACCACAGGAGTGGTCGTCCACACCACAGGAGTGGTCGTTCACACCACAGGAGTGGTCGTCCACACCACAGGAGTGGTCGTTCACTCCACAGGAGTGGTCGTCCACACCACAGGAGTGGTCGTTCACACCACAGGAGTGGTCGTCCACACCACAGGAGTGGTCGTTCACTCCACAGGAGTGGTCGTCCACACCACAGGAGTGGTCGTTCACACCACAGGAGTGGTCGTCCACACCACAGGAGTGGTCGTCCACACCACAGGAGTGGTCGTTCACTCCACAGGAGTGGTCGTCCACACCACAGGAGTGGTCGTCCACACCACAGGAGTGGTCGTCCACACCACAGGAGTGGTCGTCCACGCCACAGGAGTGGTCGTCCACACCACAGGAGTGGTCGTTCACACCACAGGAGTGGTCGTCCACGCCACAGGAGTGGTCGTCCACACCACAGGAGTGGTCGTTCACACCACAGGAGTGGTCGTCCACGCCACAGGAGTGGTCGTCCACGCCACAGGAGTGGTCGTTCACACCACAGGAGTGGTCGTCCACGCCACAGGAGTGGTCGTCCACGCCACAGGAGTGGTCGTCCACACCACAGGAGTGGTCGTCCACGCCACTGGAGTGGTCGTTCACTCCACAGGAGTGGTCGTCCACACCACAGGAGTGGTCGTCCACACCACAGGAGTGGTCGTTCACTCCACAGGAGTGGTCGTCCACACCACAGGAGTGGTCGTCCACGCCACAGGAGTGGTCGTCCACACCACAGGAGTGGTCGTTCACACCACAGGAGTGGTCGTCCACGCCACAGGAGTGGTCGTCCACACCACAGGAGTGGTCGTCCACACCACAGGAGTGGTCGTCCACGCCACAGGAGTGGTCGTTCACTCCACAGGAGTGGTCGTCCACACCACAGGAGTGGTCGTCCACACCACAGGAGTGGTCGTCCACACCACAGGAGTGGTCGTCCACACCACAGGAGTGGTCGTCCACACCACAGGAGTGGTCGTCCACACCACAGCCTCCCAGCTGGCCTGCCTCAGACCAGTCTGCGCGGAACTGTCTCAATATGAGCAGATCAAGTCGTCTGCGGGCGCGGACCCTCACCATGACCTCCTCGTCCCACTCTGAATGAAACCAATCAAACGCTGACAGCACACTCAGGCAGCCCCCTGCACCAGGCGGCTCCCTCAGGCAGCCTCCTGCACCAGGCGGCTCCCTCAGGCTGCCTCCTGCACCAGGCGGCTCCCTCAGGCAGCCTCCTGCACTAGGCGGCTTCCTCAGGCTGCCTCCTGCACCAGGCGGCTGCCTCCTGCACCAGGCGGCTGCCTCCTGCACCAGGCGGCTCCCTCAGGCTGCCTCCTGCACCAGGCGGCTCCCTCAGGCAGCCTCCTGCACCAGGCGGCTCCCTCAGGCAGCCTCCTGCACCAGGCGGCTCCCTCAGGCTGCCTCCTGCACCAGACGGCTCCCTCAGGCAGCCTCCAGCACCAGGCGGCTCCCTCGGGCAGCCTCCTGCACCAGGCGGCTCCCTCAGGCTGCTTCCTGCACCAGGCGGCTCCCTCAGGCTGCTTCCTGCACCAGGCGGCTCCCTCAGGCAGCATCCTGCACCAGGCGGCTCCCTCAGGCTGCCTCCTGCACCAGGCGGCTCCCTCAGGCAGCCTCCTGCACCAGGCGGCTCCCTCAGGTCGTCTCCTGCACTAGGCGGCTCCCTCAGGCAGCCTCCTGCACCAGGTGGCTGCCTCAGGCTGCCTCTTGAGCGAGTCTGAGGATATATACAGGCTCACTCCCTCGGGAAGGTCGTTAACATAAATTAGGAAAAGCAGCGGCCCTACGACCGAGCCCTGAGGGACACCATTAAGACATTACAAGACTTGGTAACGGTCGAGGGCGGACCAAAACGTCGTCGGGTCTTTATTTTCTGATGTGGGGTTTGGTCACCATGTCTTCAGCCACGTTATTGTGACAATTATCGTGTGCTTGGGTCACCACTTGTTACATTCCTCCAGCTTGTAACCTTCTTTATGACTGTGACTCTTTGCTTTCTGTCCAGCAGGTACTGCCTTATCCAGTTCAGTGTTGTCCCAGTTATCCCAGCCTGCTTCTCCATCGTGTACAACAGTCCTTCATGATGAACAATATTAAAGCCTTTCTGACAGCCTAGAAAAATACAGTCTACGTAAGCCACTTTTTCGCATCTTATTTTAGTAACTGTCACAGAACTCAATCAGGCTTGTCAGGCACGACTTTCCATTTCTAAATCCATGTTGACCTTTTGTCTCACAGTCGTGATGGCCTGGTGCTTTCCCCTAATAATTGCCTTGCCTTGGAGACTTCCTCTCTGAAGCATTATATTAAAAATTTCATAATAGGTGACAAAGTTCTTCTGCAGCCTCCTTCAGGAGCTATGGTGAGATGAGGTCTGATCCCACTGACTGTGTCGCATCTAGTTTCTCCAGGTGTTGTGTTGCCTCTTCAGTTACTACAGTGTCATCCACTGATTCTGCCAGCTTTTCATCTCCCAACCTTGGTCCCCACACTGCGAAAACCTCATGAAATCTCTTGCTGAGCTCTTCACACACCTCATTATCATTTTTTGTGAGAATTTCTCCTTGTCTCCTCAATCTGTACATAGTGGCATACTGTTGTTTTTCTCCTTATATGGCTATGGAGCAGCTTTGTCTAGTCCTTAGCTTTTGTAGCAATATCATTCTCAAACTGCCTCTCGGCTTCCTTCCTACTGTCCTCTGTTCCTTGTTTTCTTTACTTTTTTCAGGTTATTTTTTTCCCTTTCTTTAACTTTCCTACATCGCCTATTGAACCAGATGTTTACTTTACTTTTATCGTCCACCTCCTTCTTCAGAGGAATGAACTGCTCTGTTGCATCAGCATATTTACAAGCAAAAAATACATCATATCATTTGCTCCCTTCCCTTCCATATCTTTCCCATTGCATTTTATACAAAAAGTCCCTCGCCTTATTGTAGTCGCTACGTCTACTCCCTCTTCAACAGGTTTCTTTGTGCAACCAACTCCTGTAGCTCCCTGTAGCTCCCGTATGTACTCAAAACAAGACAATGCAGTGGTCTCTAGCGTGTAGAGGCCTCTCATACTTTATTTTTTCCCCACTTCTTCCCCAATTTGGGAAAATATCAGGTCTAGTGTTGCTGGAGGTCCTCTCCTTTTACTCTTACCGGTTTCATAATATGCTGCTTTAGCAAGTGTTTTCGTCTGCAATATCTTTCAGTTTTGCTCTCCATGTCCAATTTCCCCCTTGGGGAGTCTTTACTTATCCAGTTTATTTCCCTGTGGTTAAAGTTCCTAGTATTACGACTGTCGTTTTTGTTCTTGCCACTGTGGCTACTTTTCCCATTACTACAGACAATTCTCCCTGCATTTGTCACATTCTTCCCTCGGCGTTCTATTGTTCTGGGAGGATTATATATCATCATTTCTACTCTCTTCATGTCTCCCACCGCTGCTGTTCCTAATGAGAGCTCTTGTTGGTCGGCTTCATTTATTTCTTCAAAGTTCCAGTGTAACTGTAGCATAAGGGCTACACCACCTCCCTCTCTGTTCACTCTGTCTTTCTTCATTTTTTGACATCATTGTGAGAAGATTGCATTTCCTCTAGCACATGTCAGTTTCGTTTTCATTATCGCAATCAAGTGTTGTTGTTCTTTTGCCACTCTTTATTTGTAATTCCATCTTCATTTGTATATTTTACTTTTATGCTACTCATCATAAGTTGGCTGCTTTAGTTTCTTTTCCGATGGGTATTTATTCATGTGGCTGCATTTCCCTGTCTGATAGTGCAAGGGGCACCCACAAGACCTGCATCTTGTCTATATATATATATATATATATATATATATATATATATATATATATATATATATATATATATATATATATATATATGTCGTACCTAATAGCCAGAACGCACTTCTCAGCCTTCTATTCAAGGCCCGATTTGCCTAATAAGCCAAGTTTTCATCAATTAATTGTTTTTCGACTACCTAACCTACATAACCTAACCTAACCTAACTTTTTCGGCTACCTAACCTAACCTAACCTATAAAGATAGGTTAGGTTAGGTTAGGTAGGGTTGGTTAGGTTCGGTCATATATCTACATTAATTTTAACTCCAATTAAATAAAATTGACCTCATACATAATGAAAAAGGTAGCTTTATCGTTTCATAAGAAAAAAATTAGAGAAAATATATTAATTCAGGAAAACTTGGCTTATTAGGCAAATCAGGCCTTGCATAGTAGGCTGAGAAGTGCATTCTGGCTACTAGGTACGACATATATATATATATATATATATATATATATATATATATATATATATATATATATATATATATATATATATATATATATATATATATATATATATATATAATAGGGAAGGGAGTACCACCTCTAGCTGGAAGAAGGGGGACCCATAGCCTCGGAGGAAACCACGCATAACGCATTAGAGGGAATGTTTAGATCCCCTCCAATACAGTTTCTGTGTGCTTTTCTCCTACCACCCCCTTCCTTGAATATTTTTTGTGCTTTATTATGCATTTGATGGATATGTATATATATATATATATATATATATATATATATATATATATATATATATATATATATATATATATATATATATATATATATATATATATATATATATATATATATATATATATATATATACAGAAGAGTTCTTACATTCTTGTACAGCCACTAGCACGCATAGCATTTCGGGCAAGTCCTTAATCCTAATTTTCCCCGGAATACGACCCGGTTTAACAACCAGGTAGCCAATTCACTGCTGGGTGAACAGAGGCTACAGTTAAGGATTGGCACCAAGTAAATCCTCCTCCGGCTAGGATACGAACGCAGGTCAAGGGGCTCGCGAACCGCCAGGCGAGTGAGTGTTACCACTTCGCCACGGGGACTGCTTAAAAGACTGTTCTGCTCTCTGCTGTCAGATTGACTTCTTCCTGTACACTGTTTGTGCCATTTTCTGGTCTCCACGCATTTCGCATTTTCTTTCATTTCTTGATTCTCTTTGCTGCCTACCTGTCCTCCTTAGACATGTCTTGTCTAATCAACACTGCATGGTACTTTTCCCTCATTTCTCAAATATCTCGTTTCTGTTGTTGTTTAAGATTCAGCTATTTGGAACAAAAGTTCCAAGTAGCACGGGCTATGGTGAGCCCGTAATGGACTTACATGGCACAGGAGCGGGGCTGTAACTTGCGCTCGTTTCTGCCAGTATGTATTTGATATAATGGAGGAAGGTGTGGTGGTGGTGGAGGATGTGTTGGTGGAGGAGGGTGTGGTGGTGATTGAGGGTGTGGTGGTGTTTTTTTTTTTTTGCAGGGATATTCCTGCGCGGGCCCTAAGCCTCTGGCTGGCCCACTGGGCGGGCCCTAAGCCTCTGGCTGGCCCACTGTGCGGGCCCTAAGCCTCTGGCTGGCCCACTGGGCGGGCCCTAAGCCTCTGGCTGGCCCACTAAGTGTTGCTTGTTTCTGTTTTACTTGGGCGGAGTATGAGTGTTTATGACTCGTATGGTCGCTTCAGTAAGAATGTGGTGGTGGTGGTGGAGGGTGTGGTGGTGATTGTGAGGGGGGTAGTAGTGGTGGTGGAGGGAGTAGTTGTGGTGGTGGAGGGACAGTGGGTTTGAATGGATTTTGGTGTTGAAATGGTTGTGATGCTGTCCTAACAGTGCCCAGCTGGTGCGTTTTTCTTGAAACTTTACTGACATTCAAATATGTGGTCGTATCTGAGCTTGATCCCTGGAAACACAAACCGAAACTGTCTCTAATTTTCGCTTGTTACAACTTGTAATAAAGTTGTTACATCTTGGCTTAACGTGTTTATGACGTATTAGAACGTTGTTACAACTTGCTATATTGGTTGTTATAACTGGTTAGGAGGTGTTAAAACTTGTTCGAACGTTGTACCAACGTCGTAGTTTCAGTGTGTGTTTGGCGGGTTGTAATGGACTGAGGTGGCTCCCGTGACTACTTCCCAAGTTATCAAGTGACGCGCATTGACAGAAGAAGTTCTGGAAGCCACCACCACCCACAACTTTAAGCTCCGATTCAACAA